CGTCGCCGTCTCTCCGCGCGAGTCCCGGTGGTCGCTTGCGCTGTCGCCGGGCCTCGCCGGTGGCCACCGGATCCGTCCGTGCTCGCCTCTCTCGCGCCGTCCTCTCGCGGCCCTGCGGTGATACAATGACATCCGCCTCCTTCCCGACCCGCCTCCATCGACGGCGCGCTTTCGTCCAAAAAGGTAACCCCAATCCCACGTTGCCGTCCCCTCTCACCCGGCCGCCTTTGAGCCTCGGCTTTGTCGTCTTGTAGGTTGACCCTCAGCGGCTAGGGTTTCCCCAACTCTCACCGGGCCTCGGTGATAAGTGCTCCGCCTTCCTCCACGACCCCACCTCCATCGATGGCGACTCTCTCCAAAGACACGGTAAGCCCCGGATCCCATCGCCGCTTGATCTCTCCCGGCGGATCTCGAGCCCCACCGCCTTGTCTTGTAGGTTTACCCTCGCGCCCGCACCCATCATCACCGCCAGGACCGGTCGACGATGCTCCTTCTAGGTGTTTTCGAGCCGCCGTCCTCTTTCCAGGTGTAGCCTATCATTTCCAAATTCGCTATTTGCTTGTTGATCATAGTCTAGGAATTACATACATTGCTTTTGTTTACACTAGAGCATTTGTAAGCACTAGAGCACATTGTTTGACAGCATACATAAATGAGAAGTAAAAAAACATAAACATCTACGAAGTGAAATCCTTTGTCTGAAATGCGTTGAATGTCCAGTGGCGAATCTGGATTACATGATTATCAGGTCATGTCTATAAATAGGTTGGGTCATATTATTCATTAGGAACTTTTAGTACTATATGCACTAATTTTTCAATGAAATTGTCAAATCCTTCGGGGTCGACGGACCCCAATGACAAGCTGTAGCTTTGCCACTGTGAATGTGAATCCTTTAACAGTAAAAGCGAATTATCTGTCAGTGTACCCTTCTTGTAACTTAGTTTTAATGCAGAGGTGCTGAAATATCAAGAACCGCCTGCTCAATTAATTCAATTTAAGGCTAAAGATTATTTCCATTGAAAGGTAAGAGTTTGTTGGTTGTGGAAGTGTGAACTATCATAGTGCAATTCCAAACCTCAGGTAACAGCATATATCAAGAAACCAATGTATGCAAGGTAATTGGATAGTAGAAAGGAGAACAGAAGATGCAATATATCATTTATGTATGCTGTCAAACAATGTGCTCTAGGAATTACATACAGTGCTTTTGCTTACACTAGATCATAGGTTACAGGTTCCAGTGCTATGTTTTAGCTTCAAATGATTCATCTATTACTTCAGATTCCAGGTTGTTTTTACTTGAGTACCAGTGTGTTTGTAGTGTACCGGAATGGAGAGTTTTCAGCCGATAAGAGCTGTTGATTTGTTGGTACTAGGGGTTTGTCCATTACCTGTGGGTTTGTTGGTACTAGGGGTTTCACATGAATACATGCATGCAATCCTGGTAATCTCACATGTTTGTATGCCTGCAAATGCATGTTCACAGTATGCAATATGAGACGTTATCTGTTATCGCAGTTATTCTTTTTCACCTTTCTTGCACTGATAGCAGGGGCTATTTATTTCTCTGCCATATGCATGCTTTATAGTTTTGTCAGTATAACCCATTTAGCTTGTATCCTTCAACCGCACCCATTCTGTAGGCTACTACCACTTTACCAGCTGCGTCAACACTGCTTAAATGAACATCTTACAAGTATGCTCTATGTTTAGACTGTAGAGATTTTGGGGACGTTTCATCCATTTGGTGACCAACGCTGCCCAAATCAGCAGCGTCGTCGACTTCGTCTTGCTCTCCACTGGCGGCTGTGGGCATTACATCCTCCGCTCAAAAAATGCATAAGCGGTTCGAAAAGGCAAGTTCTCTTTTCCGCCCCCCACTCTCATCTTTGCGTAGCGGAACTACCCTCCGTATGACAAAAGATATGCATCCATGTACATAATCCCTTCGAATGTCGATCCTTGCACCGGATGAGGCAGAACATGCTAGCTAGGATGCAGAACCTGCTCTACGCTTCTTGACCTAATCATCAAGCGTAAAGACCTCTCATCATTGGAACGCCACTTCGCCAACCTCACTAGGGTGGACCAATGTCGTTCGTGGCTTCAACGAAGTCACGAGGCTCGGGTACACCAAGAAAAAGTGCCAGAACAAGTACAACGAGCTGAAACGTTTGTATTTCAATTGGCGACGGTCAGACCCATACTGGGCTAGGCTGTGACCCGCTTAATCGGAGAGGTTACAGCTGACCCCGAGTGGTACGGCGCCAGCCCCGGGGTACTAACTACACACATTTCCTCGACTATTTTTTAGCAATTAGGTTCCCACTAACTCAGTACTAACTTCGCTATCACTGAAACACGTGCAGGAAAGTAGCCAACCCGCTCGTGACAAGTTCAGACGCCCCCAATGTTGTGAGCAACTGATCACGATTTTGGGACACACCCCACGTGACAGGAGCGAGTTGGTATCGGTGGGGGGCCATCAACCTGACAAGACACCTAGTGAACTATAATTTAAGACCGATGCATTATCATTTATAGTAACTACCAGGACTTTTATATACACCACAACTTGCACGATGGCATTACATTTATGGGGCTATTGCGTTCTTGCCCCTATTTTAAACCCCAATTGTGATTTTACCCCCATTTTCTTTCACTTTGTGTTTTTACCCCTGCTTTTTTCAAAAGCGAAGGTTTAGTTTACCCTACTCGTGAGCAATGATACTTGGTATTAAAAAAGTTGACAGATGACAAGTTTGCCCTTTTGAATATTGCGTTTTTGCCCCTATTTCAAACCCTAATTGTGATTTTACCTCCACTTTCTTTCACTTTGTGTTTTTACCCCTACTTTTCCAAAACAAAGGCTCTGTTTACCCCAATTCTTAACTCAGTTATCTACATCCGGATCAAAGCAATTAAAAATTAACAAAAGCTCTGTGAAAAGACAAACTTACCCCTTATCTCTCGGTCGTCTCTCTCGAGGTCGTCCCTCTCAACGCCAGCAGCACAGGTAATTTGGCAAGGTGCGGCGGTGGTGGGCGGCGGAAGGCAGCGTCAGGCCATCGAAAGCGTGGCGCGGAAGAAGGGCGTGCTTGCCAAGTTGAATAAGCAGCGTGGTCGCAGGCGCTTGCCTGGCACACTGGCACGCGCTCACGCTAAGCCGACGCAGCCTTAACCTGTGCTCTGCTTGGCTCGCTCGCGGCAGCGGCGTCATGGCAGCGCATCTCGAGAGGAGCCGACCATGGAGCCAAAGACCCACCTCTCTTTCAACTCTAGCGGATGGCTCGGCGTTGAGTTGAGAGAGAGAGGCGGTCTTCGGCTCCATGGTGGTCGGTCGCCACGAGACAGCACCGCGACGTCGGCAAGCCACGCGCCCAGCTGCCAAGTAGCCAGCCAGCTTGCTAACTGCGTCTGCTTCATACGCGAGCTAAGCGCGACGCCGCCGCCGACGGCCCGACGCTGCCTTCCGCCGCCACCACCGCCCGACCACCGTACCACGCTGCTAGCGTTGAGAGGGACAACCCCGAGAGAGACGACCGAGAGATAAGGGGTAAGTTTGTCTTTTCACAGAGCTTTTGTTAATATTTAATTGCTTTGATTCGGATATAGATAACTGAGTTAAGAATTGGGGTAAACGGAGTCTTCGTTTTGGAAAAGTAGGGGTAAAAACACAAAGTGGAAGAAAGTGGGATTAAAATCACAATTGGGGTTTGAAATAGGGGCAAAAACGCAATATTCGGAAGGGCAAACTTGTTATCTGTCAACTTTTTTAACACAGTTACTTGCTGTTCACGGAGTAGGGGTAAACTGAACCTTCGTTTTGGAAAAGCAGGAGTAAAAACACAAAGTGGAAGAAAATGGGGGTAAAATCACAATTGGGGTTCAAAATAGGGGCAGGAACGCAATAACCCCTGCATTTATAGTAACTAGCCGTATAGGAGACAAAAGCTGATGTTGGCATTCACGTGGCACACTTTCATTATTGCTTACTATGCTTATAGTCAATAATGCATGATGTTGCGGTTACTGGTCGATCTGGATTAAAAAAATAGGTCATGCTTGGTGCAATTAAGTTCACCAAAGAGTCATCATGTTACATAAATTAGGAAAAGTATAAAGGGCCTATTAGAAATGCTCTTAGAATATATACACAGGGGCCGTCTCATCACCTACACTGTGCCCGTCCTAGGATATATAGCTAGCCCAACGTACGTAGTATACCAATCAACGACAACATATGCACTCATCGACATTGCTGGCTCTTGTTCCACTGGGCGAATCATCTTCTATATCTTGTGCGCAGTCTAGAGAGTCATCCTCGATCTCTATCTTTGGCTAGCGAGAAATCCAGAATTGAGAATATCTATATTTGAATATCTAACTGAAGAGACTGTTGGAGAATATTTCTTTCTCTAAAATCTCTATTCCTCTAAATTAGGAAAGATATAGAGAGCCTCTTAGATATGCTCTTAGAATATACACACAGGGCCCGGCTCATCACCTGCACTGTGCCCGTCCTAGGATATATATAGCTAGCCCCAACGTACCTAGTATACCAACCAACAACAACATACGCACTCATCGGCACTGGTGGCTCTTGTTCCGCTGGGTGAATCCTTCTATATCTCGTGCGCAGTATAGAGATCTATCCTTGCTCTCTATATTTTGCTAATGAAAAATTTGGAATAGAGAATATCTATATTTGAATATCTAATCGAAGAGACTGTTGGAGAATATTTCTTTCTACTCCTCTAAACTAGGAAACATATAAAGAACCTTTTAGAGATGCTCTTATAATATATATACACGGGCCATCTCATCACTGCACTGTGCCCGTCCTAGGATATATATAGCTAGCCCAACGTACGTAGTATACCAACCAACAGTAACATAAGCACTCATCGGCATATCTGGCTCTCGTTCCACTGGACGAACCACACTGTACACAGAGCTACTGGCTAGCTAGCTACACAATCGACCCAGCAGCAGCCATGGCTGGTGGTGGTGTTCAGCAGGTGGTGGCCGTGCTCGCGGTGGTGGCGCTCATGGCGGCGGCGGCGGAGGGTTTCATCTCCAAGAAGACGTGGAGCGCCATCCGGCGGGCGGACCGCGACGGGCCCTTCGTGGGGCTGGTGGTGCCCAACGCCTACGAGATGGAACCCGTCCTCAACTCCCCCGACTTCAAGCCCAGCAACAACATCCCCATCCTAGATGTTCAAGGTAACCTAGCTAAGCAGCAGCAGCAGCAGACGATTCTCCGTGCATGCACACAGTGACACAGCATAGGTGGAGACTGGAGAGAGCCGTCCGGCCATTTTCCCTTTAACTTCCACCAAGGTTTTCAAACCGATTATGTTTATTTTTTTTTACAAGGGATCGGATGGTAAGAGCTTTGCCGTTAGATTATGTTAGACGAGGAAAAAAAGGTACACATAACCAGTCCTGCCAAATCCCACTACCCAAACTAAGGAGGCAAAAAGAAACTAGTATATGCAACTACATGGTAAACGGGGCTCGGCCCGGGAACCAGGACAACCAACATTAGAACCAAATTAAGGCAAGAAACAACTAGAACCGGTAAAAACACACACAGCTGAAACAACCTCAAAAGGAACAGGAAAACAAGCTAAGAGGTGTTGACACTCTAGTCTCCACGCCAACTGGAATTGTTGTATATATGTTATTTTTGCAAAGTATTCCGACTTGTCTTGGTTTCGGATTCTTCTTTGCTAAAAAGTTCTTCTTTCCGCTCTTTCAAAATGTTCCACCAAATTATGTTTATTATTATGGTCAAGTTCTAAATATATGGTCAGTAGTTAATAATAACTAAAATCCTGAAAATATGCCACCAAAAATATATAGAGCCACATCGCAACAGGAGGAACACCCCTTTTAGCAAGGGATATATTCGTTGCTAGAGGTCCAAATAAATGTTGGTAAGACCAATACCAAGAGATGATACATGTATTGCTACTTCCTAGAGATTATGTTGCAAAGGTCTATTTGTAACGCATATGCAAGCGTCGGTAACATTTGCATATATGTTCTGCAAGATAGCAACGGATATGCATATATGTTCCGCCAACAAATTTATATGTTGCTAACTAAATAAGCCGTATGCTTTCTGGATCCACCATTACAAACATATACATATTTTTTGAAGTGAGAAGTCAATATAGATTTAACAATTACTTGTACATACGTCATAACATCCATTAGCCCTGGGCACAAACAATTAATAGGCCATTAGACAAGTAAAGCTAACATATATTCTTATTTCAATAATAAATGATTCTGTACGGAGAAGAAAAACGCACAATGTATAATGGTATATTATTGTATTCCACTAAATACAAAACTCCGCACCAAAAATAAAATGTACATCAAATCCGAAATAAAAAGCTGTTCTTGTGGGAAAATCTTGGCGTACTTCATCCTTCATAATCTGAAATCCAAATATGGCCCATTTGCCCTGCATGAAAAATATAAGAATGCTTTGGTAAGAGCATATATGGAAGCACACTCTAGTTTTTCCCCCATTTGCATGAATCACAACCAGAATTTTAGATTTCTCATAATGATGTGGGCTTCTCATAGTGTTTTGACATTCAAAATTTAGTAGAGACTTTCCCTACTAAATGTCTCCTAATGAGATTCCCTTGTGCTATGACTAGTGGTAGTGTTTTATTACTACTTAAAAATACTAGGAGAATTCCATCATTTTGGTAGTGAATTTACAAATCTCTACACAAAGGGAATTATTAGTAATCTGTTTCGTGACCTAACTTTTTTGTGCACATACATATAAAAGTAACTGGGCTGAATTAGTGAAATTCTAAAAAATAAACGAAATAATTCAATGTTACAAATTTATATTTTAGCAAAAAAATGTCAATGGCGAAAATTTATAAACATTTAATGATGTACCTTATATATATCTGGATCAGTCTGTACAAGCAATACTGTCTTTTTGGCAATACCTGCATAATAAGAAGCTCGCAAGCAGCAATTATATATAGTATACATGACAAAAGCATGACCTCTAGAATTCCGTATGTTCCTTGGACATATCCCAGTTTTAAGTTCAATGATAAGGAATCATTCAGACATATATGTATATATTACTCAGAATATGAGTCAACTAATTAAGTGCTAAACAAAACTAGATATATAGACAAATATGTTCAGTAACATATATTTTTGTGAACTCAAACTAATTTATGACGTGGTATAAAAGCCAAAAGGTCAGCATAGAAAATACTAGTTGAAGGTCACAGCACAAGAAATGTAATGACAATAATGTTTCCAATAATGCGAATAGTAATAGTAGATTTTCAATCCCTCATATTTACAGTGTCATGGTTCGAATTAACTCTTTTTCTTATGATATATATAATTAATTAACAGATGCAGTTGTGTGTATATAAAAATATAATATAATGCTCTTACAATCACTGTTGGAAATTTTTCTTCGAAGGGCGACGATTCCGCTTCGGAACCATTGGAGGCCAAAACGTTGTCATGGTCATGACTGGGCTGAGCATGGTATAAATTCATCTTTTTCCACGTGTACATGTGAAAATTTATTTGACGACTATTTTCCTAAAACGAATCTGGCAGCAGAGAGCTGTCGATTTTATTTGACCACACAGTAAATAATCAATACTACTTTTGTCGATCTGTGGCCTGCACTGCAGCTGAATGCAGGGCTCACAACCCAGCTGCTGCTGAGCCTGTTCAGGGTGAAGGGCATCGTGCACTGGGGCATCGCCGGCAACGCCAACGAGGACCTCCAGATCGGCGACGTGACCATCCCCGAGTCCTGGGCGCACTTGTCCCTGTGGAACTGGCAGAGGCACGGCGACGGGCCGGAGAACGAGCTGCCGCTGGAGGGCGCCGGCGACTACACGAGGGAGTACGGCTTCCTTAACTTCTCCGACTACACTGTCGGCCAGGCCAACCCGGAGCTGTCGGCGAACACGCTGAACAGCGTGTGGTACCAGCCGGAGGAGATCTTCCCGATCTCCGGCACGCCGGAGGAGCGGCAGCACGCGTTCTGGGTGCCGGTGAGCAAGCGCTACTACAAGCTCGCCGGGAAGCTGGAGGGCTGGAGCTGCCGGCGTGCGTGAACGCGACGACGTGCCTGCCCCGTGCGCCCGGGTGACGCGGGTGCCCCGGGGTTGCAGCGCCAACATCTACACCGACAACGCCAGCTACCGGCAGTTCATCCGCGCCCACTTCGGGTGCACACCCGTGGAGATGGAGAGCGCCGCCGTCGCGCTCGTGGCGCACCAGTACGGCGTCCCCTTCATCACCATCCGCTCCCTCTCCGACCTCGCCGGCGGCGGCTCCTCGCTCAGCAACGAGGCCGCCACGTTCCTCGACATCGCGGCCAAGAACGCCGTCGACGTCATGCTCAAGTTCGTGCCCCTCCTCGGCCGCGGTGGCGAGCAGGAGCAGGCCGACGGCCTGACCGAGGACATGTAATCTAAGACGGGCCGGGAGACAGATCGACGACGCTGAGCAGTGCACGTCGTGGTACAATGCAATTTCGTCCTGTAAGGTTTTTATAATTATATTCCCGCCCACAAATAACTTGTATCCCTATTGCAAACCTAATCTTAAGTGGAATAAATAAAATTGGTCGTCGTGCCCATGTTTTTATATCGGTAATAATGCTAGGAAACAGATGCCCGCCCGCCACGGACGCTCTGTTGGTGGTCCGCGACGCTAGCCCAACTACCCCTTCCTATTCACTCGGGAGTTTAAAAAAAAGAGTCGATCTTCACCCTCTTCCTCCCCCTACCGCGTCGCAGCTCATGCTGCATAAGTGCAGTGCCGCACCATCGCCCGCAGCCATGGGCCCTCACCGCCTCCTCGCTGCTCCAACTCAGCATCATGCTGCTGTTCCCGCCCACCAGCTGCGCCGCCCATGTTTGCCCCTTGAACTCGGGGTGGGAGCCAAGGACCGCTGGTCGCTCTTCTTCCGAGATCTGTCCGTCGCCTCCTTGAACTGAGATGTGGGCGCATGTTGTAAGCATATGTTTAAGTGTTTCAGATGTTTCAGAGACATGTTGCAAGTGATTCATACGGATGTTGCAAAAGTGAATTGTAATGTTGCATATATTGCAATGGTTGTACATGTATGTTGCAGGCTTCTGTTCCATTGTTGTGGCAGGGCCACCCAATTTAACCTAATCTCAAGTGTACTTGTCAGGCATTTGACACTAAGTACGCAAGAGATCAAGTTAAACCCGGTAGTCTGTCGAGTACACCCAATGGGAGAACTCGAAAATCCACGTTTTCATCAGAATCATAAACAAGTGAATAAAGCTTACAACATTCTTAACCATTTCATACATCATAGTGTTACATAAAATCAGAGTTATTACAAAACAGATTTCATAAAAACAGCGAAAGAAATGTCATTTTATACAAAAGCAGCGAAAATTTAATAGTTTTGAATATTGAAGTAGAAGTAGAGATTTAAGAATAAGGTGCTACCGATAGCGGCGATAGAGGAAGCCTCGCTGAGCCCACCAGGAGGTATCCACACATAGCAACAGTTAGCTCCAGCATCCACCTATTACCTACAACGGGGGGAATAAAACCCTGAGTATACACCAGCATCCACCTATTACCTACAACGGGGGGAATAAAACCCTGAGTATACAATGTACTCCACAAGACTTACCCGACTAGGTGGGAGTAGTCTCCCGACTCTTAAGGATATGCTGGGGCTATTTGGCTAGCTATTTAGTTATTTTTGCAGAGAAGCATTACTAATGGTGCATCCTGGTATTCAAGGTTTAGCAGTCACATCAAGTTCATTACTTAACCATTCTAGGTAAGCACATGTACTACTTTCAAGCATATGGTAAGTAATCAAAATATATTTCATGATCCGGCAGTAGTCTTATTATCATCTCAATGTTCCAGTTGCATTAGCTACGATGATAGTGAAATGACAAGTGGTATCCATATCCGAAGAGGGCGGCGATTGCAATCGATGTACATCCAGCTGGATAATCCCAAACACATGCCCGTACTTCTCTCGACAAAGCATGTACAAGGCAACCATTCCAACTGTATGACCAAGACCCGAAATGACCTAACCACCCTAGGGAACTCACCCTATGAGGCCCGCCCCGTGAGCCGGCAACGGGTTTCCCCTCATAAGTTTGACCATGGACATTCCCCTCCCAAAAACAACCTCTAGAATGGCCAAAGAAACACTCCGGTGAATGTTTTGAGCACCTTAGTCTTAAGGAAGTACTAAGCTTCACGGTCAACTGTAACTCAGGCCCCTGTTATGTTTTTGGTACCTTCAAGCTTGTTAAATAGCTACCAACGAACGGTCCTTAATCAACACAGGCAGGAAAAATACAACCAGAGCCTCGCTTTGTTGCTATAACCAACCATAACCAAACCAAACCAAAGTCCTCAGTCCCACCCAGTCTCCAATTATTACCCAACATCTCAAGTCCATGTGATAGTAGTAACAGAATAGCCATGACCTATCTCTTGCGAGTGATAGTTCATCACCCGACTTTTGCCGTAGGTCCTATAGCATGGCATACTACATGATTCCTGTCATACTAGTAGGACTCATAGGATAGAATATTTATGCAGGTGGATTTCAAGCAACTCTTGCAACTTAATGCACAAACAACAGAATAATAAGTGCTTGAAAAATAGGGGTTATGCACCGGGGCTTGACTAGGTAATTTATTAACACAAAGTTAGTTAGCTCCATCTTCAACATGATCAGCCATCATCTTCAGGACCGGTCACCATTACACCCTCTTCCCGCTTGATGCCAACATCCTTCAGTTGATCAATCGATTCATCATCGTTCATAAATGCAATGCAATGCTTAAGTCAAACAAGCATACACATAGGCATTACAAACTTAAAAAAGACAAACAACACGTCCAAGGGTGACTGGGGTAGCTAATTGTCGTTAAGAATCACTCTCATACTCTCCTCGAAACATTACTCACGAGTTGATTATTGCATTAAACACACAAATGCAGGACCAAGCAATATGTCATGCACATAACCACTACTAACGAGAGTTAAGTAACATTTTACTTAGCTAATAAGTGGCACAAACAATATATAAAGTATGTGGTAAACATAATTTTAAGCACTTATTAAACTTGATGGTTTAGTTACACATAAACATGGAATAAAAAGGTGTTGCGCCGAACATCTATTTTGGAGATGAAAATTTTTCTGGGAGGCACATCTTAACCAACAAAGCTACTATATGAATTTCATAATTTCTAGATAAGCACATTATTTACTAGCATTTAATTAAGACTTAATGGTAATAAAAGCATGTGACACATGACAAATCAATAACTCAGTAAATATACATTCAATGGACATGAAATTTTTACCCTAGCACAAACATGCAATAATTAACCTACCACGAAAATTGCATAGCAATTAGATTCATATAAATGTAGATATGAATTGAGCTCTAAAAATCATAAGCGACCATCTATAGCAAAACTTTTATATTAAAACATGTCATATTATGTTTCTAGTGTATAAATCTAGTTGTGTGGAGTGCAACAAAACTGATTTAATATTTTATGATTTTTCTATGATTTACTATGAATTATAGAAGTTTCATCCTATTTACACATATAAAAGAAAAAGATAACATGAAAAGGAAAACACATTTTGCGTTGGGAACCCTGGAGTTTCTACTAAGCCAAGAAGGCCCTTTCACCTTTTGTTTGCCTCTGGTACCTTTTCAACTGGAACCTTGGCTTTCTTTCTATTTCCTTTTCGACTCCATCTCGGGGCTCGTGCGAGAGCAGCTTGCACGTATGGGGGAGAGGCGCTCGATTCGGCGGAGGAGCTCGATGGTGGTGACTTGACGGCCGGAGAGGCATGCAGGCGAGGCGACCCGGCCTCACGCAGCGTGGCGACTGACCCGCCAAATTGCGAAAGATTGAGGGCATGGCCATGGCAGCGGGCCTTGAGGCCACGATAGCTCCCGACTGGGGGAAACCGGAAGAGGGCGTGCGGGGAATAGAGGTTAACGAGGCGGAGGTGGTGGTGCACGCGGTCGAGCGTGGGGAGGGATGGAGCGGTGGGAACGGTAGTGGCCGAGCTTGAGCTCACGGCGGCCATGGCGGGCGACTACACGGTGGCAGCGACACTGCAGCAGCAACGGAATGGTGGCTCCGGCCTCGTCAGGCTCAGAGAGCATGTGCACAGAGACGCGGAGGCTACGGTAGACGTGCCGGTGGTGCTAGCTAAGCGCGAGGTGGTGGGAATGGCGGGGGCGATAGCTCGGGTCCAGCCATGGCGTCCGCATGCGCAAGAAAAGAGAAAGAGGGTGGGAGAGAGAGAGCTCAGGCTCCTTTTAAGCGCAAAGGCAGGAGGCAGCACAACGTGAGCGTGGTGTGGTGCGGGTAGAGGTGGCCTCGGTGCGACATGGTGGCCTGACGTCGCCATGCGCGTGACATGGGCACATAGAGCAGGGCGTGGCCACGAACATGGCAGGGTGTGGGCAGGGCAGCACGACTTGACCACATTGGGGCCCACGAAACATCACATTCCATGCACATGTAGACCCGATGACTGTAACAAAAGTTCTTCACCTCGATTCAGACTTCAACTTTGGTTAAGAGTCTAAGGTCGTTAGGGCATCGGGTCAGCGGGTAATTAGGGACAAAGTTAGCAGTGTCAGTGAAGACACTAAGCACTTAGAAACTTTCTATCTCCAGGAAACATCATTTTATTCAAACTTTGGAGCATGGTGATGGCAATTAACAACCATTATAAACCATCAATATATCATGTATAAGGGTACAAATATAATCACCAACGAAGGTCTAGGGGTTTAAACTAACAATTTCCATGAGTTTTAGTGAATCTGTATTTTCTGCAGGGTTTATCTAGAAAACCATCAAGGTGGACCAAGATGTCAGATTTAATCGTGCTTATCCACAGCGAAAACAACCCTAGATAGTTTCAGAAGACTCAAGAGGACTCCACACCGAAGAGGAGAGCGAGATGCTGCCAGGTGGGGCTGTCCGGCCCCTGGGCCCATCTGTCAGTCTCCCGTTGTTATATCAGTTCTCCAGCCTCCCGTTGTTATATCGGTTCTCCACCGCCTCCTAGATTGCATCTACGCCGTTTATTCAAATCAGTTTGATCCGAGGGCTCAGGATTGACTCTCCGGCCTTTTTATACCAGCCCCTACCCCCCTCCCTCATGCATTGTATAAGTCATTTTGAGAAGACAGAAACCCTAATCATCCTCAGAGCTCCATCATATTCTAGAGCATAGCTAGTTAGGCTAGGTCTAGAGGGAGGCAAGCAGACTTCGCTTGGATTCCTGATCTTGTCAAGAGCATGGTTTGGTATAATCTTTGTATCCCCTCTCTTTTGTATCTCCATTACTTTTATATATTTGCTACAATTGTTATGACAACATTGGTATTCACAATACTCATGTTCTTA